GTAAACCGTGTGAGAGGCATTAAGTGAGGGCATTTCTTGCACTACTTGTTCTGGTGAGGGAATTTGCATTGGAGCATCGTTGTAATTTACAGCATGCAGTTCCTTTTGCCCACAAGGATAATGGAGTAGAACTTGGCAGTGGGGCATTTTCCAAAGGTCGTGTTCTCTTCCCTTTTCAAGCCTAAGCTTGATACCTTTGCCTGAATGTTTGTTGTTTTACCACGACCACCATGTCTGCTCTTCGGATTCATCCCCGTGTTTCGAACGTGATCAACATGACCACACTTGTAGATGGAAGTGTCCACGGATCCTGGTATCCAATCGGCACGCCTTGGACTACAGGAGGCTCACACCTGACTACTTCGAAGATCAGTCAAGACTCAGACACAAGCCACAAGTATATCTGCATCCACACCTATGTATAATCCCAGTTTACCACAAACGTTTTCATCAAAACGTCATTCCTATAGGGATCATGGGATGCGAACGCTCTGAGTGGACTGCTTTTCGCTAAGGGTTGTTCGCTGTTTTGAGTTATTAAGCGGCATCCACACGGCTACTACCGGTGTTACTGCCACTTTCTCGTAAGGCTGATTGCTCACTCGACATGAAACGACGCAAATCAACAGTACGAGTTGAATGAACACGATTCCTCACCTGTTTTTTCCTACCCTTTTTGTGCACTCAATAGAGGGGGGCTAAGTCCATGCTGTTGAACCAACTAATCTCACAAGCAGTAGTTGGAGTTTTCTTAGTTCTTCCAAAAATCTGCCTCTCTTTAATAAGTCTCCTTGTTCCTTCAAATGGTCTGCTTAGACATAGTATAGGGGACGTGAGCAGTGAATGCATACTGCAGTTTACTTTCGGTCAGCGAACAAAACGAGGAGGGATTTCAGATGGCGTTGTATTGTACTGCTGGTACGTTTTATATCCAACTCTTCTCTCCGTTGAATATGCTTGTCGTACTGTGAACTGGTTTTCCCTCTCGGAACTCCAGCTGTACTTGCTTGAATCGAACATGATGTATTGCGACCCGACTCAGGTTCTCCCTTATGATCTTGGAAAAAGGCGTAGTCGTAGTATTGGTGACTCCGATCGACTTGTCCTCACCTTACTAATGCCCCTTCCACCTAGCCCAACAGGCTATCGTGGACGAATCGGATTTTTTCGAGCTAATGCCCACACATGCACCCAATCTCCTCACCGGCTTTGCGCGTCTGGCCGGCCGGCCAGTGGGTATTGTGGCTAATCAGCCCACCGTTGCCGCGGGCTGTGTGGACATCAACGCGGCCGTGAAGGGAGCTCGATTCGTTCGCTTCTGCGATGCCTTCGGTTTTCCCTTGGTCAACCTGGTCGATGTTCCTGGTTTTTTGCCGGGTGTTGGCCAGGAGGCTGGGGGCATAATTCGCCACGGGGCAAAGCTGATATTTGCCTACTGTGAGGCCAGTGTACCTAAAATGACGGTGATCACACGGAAGGCGTATGGTGGGGCATATTGCGTGATGGGCTCGAAGCATCTGCGGGGCGATGTGAACTATGCCTGGCCTAGCGCAGAGGTAAGTTGAGTTGTGGTGAGGGTGGATGATTTGGGCTAAATAGCGAATGTCTATCACGTTGTCAGGTTGATACTTATTCTTCCAACTGTCTGGCCTCTTGCCCCTCTAGAGTGTCTCTATTGACTGCTCCGGCACTGATGCTCGATCATTATGTTGATCTCCCGCTGGTTCCTGATCGCTAAACTTGCATTTTCATCAACTTGAAGGTCAGTCCGGAAAAGCGATAGACATAAACTCCACACATTTGACAGTGCTTTGACCCAACAAGGAGGGGCGCGTTGCACTGGTGAGGATATCGGACATCCCATACTTAGTGAAAGCACAGGAAGTGCAGATTGTCCAGCATCAATATGGTCGAATTGAGAGCCTATAACTTACCGTGGGATTCAATTATGCTTAACAATCTTGAGATGACATTCTTCTCGGAATGAGGCTAGGAGTGGTTTTATCCTGAAGAATTGCGTTCACCTACTTTTTCTTTCAATTAGATCGCGGTTATGGGAGCAAAGGGCGCCGTACCAATCGTCTTTCGCGACGAGCTTGGTGCGGCGGAGTCGACGGCCAAACTGGAGGCCACCTACGAGCGTGCCTTCGCTAGTCCATTTCCAGCAGCGGCGCGTGGCTATCTGGATGACATCATCGAGCCATGCACCACCCGAGCTCGACTCTGCGCTGACCTGGACCTCTTGAAGGACAAACGCGTACCTACTGCTAATCAGTACCCACGAAAACATGCCAATATGCCGCTTTGAGGATGAGATCTAACGCTTGTTATCCTCTCTAGCCTATTTGGGTGTGAATAGAGGCGAATGTGATCGCTTCCTATGCATATAGGACGAAATGTTAGGGGCATTTCTTGCAGTTTTGCGAAACATTTTGCAAATGGATTAGACCACTCTAAGTACGAAGGAAATAGCTCTTTGGTTTTAATGTCTGGCTATCGATGTGATGATTGTTCCAGCCGAGTGAAAGCTGGTGTATCGTGAATGACGTCAGACGCAGTATGGAGCTGAGACGAAGCTTGCGTGGGTAGTGGTACTGTATCACGTTGACACTTTCTTCCCCCCGTTACTTGGTCACGTCACTGTTGCGTGGGACTCTGACACCCGTTCTCTGATTCGGGGAGTTACTGGGATGCATGTTTGTTTTGCTGCAACTTCTTATGTCAGAGGTGTCCCAGCTCTGCAAACTGCGTGGTCTCGCTGACATCGCCTCTACTTTAAGTGAATATGGGAATTAAGTCCATATGTGACTTGTATATTCCAGTAGAAGCCTCATTTGAATGTCCTATTTGGTCTTCCATAAATCTGTCTTGGCGGCCGAGGGACAATGAGGGGGGAAGTGAATGGTTTGCACTGGTGGCAGTGATGGTGGATAGGCGGACAGTTTGAATGCGCCAAAGCTGAGCTATGGATGTCGGTAGGCCTTGCGCTCGCTCTTCGTATGCTATTTCCAGCTGTGGTGATGTACGGTACTGCTGCAGATACATATCTTTAGGAATGCCACACAAAACTAGTCGGTGGGACACCCTCCAAGTGGCAATGTAGTAATAGAATTGTTGGGATGACGCTTCTTCCACTGCGATTTGAGAATGAGGGATGGTGACAAACACCATGTTAGAAGCCTTAGCAGCGTGATAAAGTGGGTCTCTCCTAAATTACTACCTCTGAGATCAAGAAATGGGCAGTTGTCTAGATTCTTCTCTGAAATTCCAAGAGATAGACGGTGTTTCAGCCCCTCCAGACTTCCATGAAGGCGAAAGAAGACCTAATGCTGGGGTAGAAAATATGATGAAGTTCTGCAATAGGGCATGAGGCTACTGACATGGTCTAGCACCAAAATTAAGATAAACACACAAATGACGCAAGACAGTGATTACTTAGGCGAAATGATGGAGTTGGCAATGGGGAAGCTTCATTTTATTCTCCCCAGATACCTGGTTAAGAAGGAGAATTTGAAACGAACACAAAGGATTCAATTAATCTTGGCGTTTCGCCACGGTTGTCAAGTTATGATAGAGCTAAAGGAGTTATGAGATGCATTCAAGTGGTAGCCTTGCTGTCTTAGGTGTTCTACATGTGCTGCTTCTTTTAATGTACGCATTTCTTACCATCAATTTTTCACCATAAAATTAGCTGTTACATGTATGCTGTTACGTAAACACTTGGCTAAATCACATCAGATATTAATAAAGTAAATGTCAAGAAACGATTAAACGATTGCCACTTTGTCGATTCCAATAAATATTCTTCATTAGTTTTGGTGATAAAAGCCGCATAACTTCCATCAATAAAGCTACCTCTGCATTTTTCTTGACAAAAACGCGTTTGTTCATATCGATAAATTATTTTTTGTTGGTTGGGTGGTTTGGCGGCTCTAGGTCACGATATCAGCTGCTTAAATTATATAAATGGGTTAAATCCTTCTCTTACACATTGGATTCAAGCATCATGCCTTCTAAATCATTAAGACTCACATAATATGTGTATTTTTTCACAACATTGTTGCCGCAATATTATCATGCACTATTTTTTTGAAAAAGCTTAAGGAAAGGGCGAAAAAATTGTGTAAAATACGATGACGTTGCAGGGATGCATTTTAGACTCCTTCATTCAAGGACTGATATTCGCATCATTATCTTAATAGACATGGGCCACCTCAAATTATTCGACTAATTCATTAAAAACTGATATATATTTATACTATGGATATCTACAGCTTCTATTCACAAAAGTGCATCGGATTTAAACGTTCGATTAATTGGTTTTTAATTTGTTTGGCCACTGGTTACAGTCTGTAAGCGGATGGCTTTTTTTGCTTAAAGTATGACTGACGAGAGTTTTTTTCAACATTAACCAGAACTATTTTATATTCGTCTTATCCTAAATGCACTATTTACTCTAGGAATGAATGACCCCTTAGCATCACCAGTTCCAGTTATCGTTGTGAACCACACAAATTTCCAGAGGTCTAGTCAATCCCTTCTTCGGCCATCCTTCCTTTCTGCCCGTAGCCACTCGTCAATTTTTACCGACGCAAACCCGTATGATTGTTTGACTTTACTTATTTTGTTTAATTTCATAAATTATTCCTGTTCACTTAAGCATTTTTCAGTGCAGAGGTATGAATTGCAAAATCATGTTTGACAGTAATTTTGAAAGCAACAAAGCGAAAGTTCTGCTCATCTCTAATAATTGCCGAAATAATTACGTATCGTTTAGAGAATCAATGGTGCACACCTCGTTTATACATCATAACTTAATCATAATAATAACGGTAAAATTCAGGGACTTAATTAATGAGAACCGAAATGGTTAACAGGAAGAACGAAAAAGTAATTAATTAAGGCACACAAATATATGCCTGTGTTGTAACCCATCTAGCCCAAAAATTAAAATGAAGTGCTTTCTTATAAAAGTTAAGTAAAAAGTCGTGTTCAATTTTTGCCGATTCTAGGTCAGACTCGTGCAATGTCACTGACAAGGTGCATTATCCTAAGAGTTTTGAGGCTCGGCAACCACTGTCAACTCTTTGGCCAAGATCACTCACACCTGATGGCGAGGACCTTGAATATGAAGAGAAAGAGGAGGAAGAGGAAGGAAATTATGAGCACTTACGTTGTTATCTTTTTTCCCATAAATTCCACTGGCCATGGGGCTTACTGGTGTTTTTGGCCTCCATTACAACCTACCTCGCTGATGTTGTATGCGACCTTTATCTCGTAGTTTGCTACTTTAAAAAGGTGGGAGTACTTTTATTATGGATAAAAGGCTTTTATTAAAGGATCGTTTCGATTTGGCTGCTATGACGTTGTCAGTGATTATACTGCCCTCGATTGTGATGACAAGCTTCAGCTTGACCTGGTATGTTCTCGATAAACGTGTTGGTATGGAACCTCAGCGAAGCGTTTATGGATGGGGGTGGCGCCTCCTGCTACATGGACTTCAAATGGCTCCTATTGTACGGTAAATTTAAAGGCATTATGCACTTGATTAACACGTGCTAAATGATGATTAACATGTCTTAAATGGCACCAATCCTGAAAGTGCAAAAAATTTGCTCAAATTTAGACAAGCCGACGCCCTGATCTACGGCTTTCGCAGCCTAAGGGTCGACAAAATCGGCTTGTATGAAGCTGTTCAATTGACACATCTAAGACTTTGCGAGTTAGCAGACTCTGCAATGTTGCAAGTAATGGAGGGTCTCATGGAGTCTGCACCCCAACTTATACTCCAACTTTACGTCCTGCTAACCAACCCATCCAACCTGCGTAAGTCGGAGGTTTTTCCAGTGTAGACACTTCATTTAACACCGAAGCAATTATTTTATAACGGCATCAGTTATAAAAGATAAATTGCCAGTAGTTAACCATCAAGAATCCTCCTTCTGCAATGTTTGTTATGCTTATTGAGCTAAGAACTCCTACATTTTATTCTGCTATTTCTTTCTTGTACATAGTGCAGTTTTGGAGGGGCCGAGGTTTGTTAAAGCCTAAAGATAATTTGCAAGTCATAGATAGCTAAATGAATATTTAAGTTATCCAGAGGTCTAACTCGGTCCAAAAAACCAATTATCTTAACTTTAAACGTTACAAATATGGAAGATTTTCACTGAATTTAATAAGTAGCACCTTTTGCTAGTTCTCCTACAGTATGCCAGCTGCGGCACGTCCCTCTTCGCACTAGCCTACTGCCTAACCGCCTACCAAATTGCACTATACAATTCTAACACGTCCTTCTCTACCACCTTCCACTGGCGCAATCTTCCCGCCACATCCATATTTTTCATTTGGAAGGTATGTGTTCTCGCCAGTCGTCTTCTTTCTTTGGCACTTCTGGCAGCTTGCATGCGCCATTACCCCCATCAGCCATGGGTTTTCTGTGGGTGTCTCTTTCTCCACTGGTTCTTCTCTTTTATTGTTCTCACCTACGAAACTCGCGTCTCGTGTTCCCTTCTTGAAGTTTTGTTTGTCGCAGCCCTAGCAGCAGTTCACTGTTTCGATGTGGCTCTGCTCAACATTCGACGTTGTCATCGATCTCCAACGGTCGGAACGGTTTATACAATTTGGTATACCGTATTCTTCGTGGAGAATGCGACAGCAGCTACTGTGTGGTTCCTGACTGATGGGCGAAAGGAACCGTTGCGAGGACTGACAGCCGTTTCATTGGTTATAATAACGTTTGCCCTGGGTGTCATATTCTTGATTGTGTATTATGGACTTGCCTATCCACAAAGTGTCAGGAGAAGGCGGACTTTGTATTAAATGTAACAAAGCTGCAGCAACTTGGTTTTTTGCTTGTATATTTTATCTGAGCGGTATTCCAACGCATTTGAAGTTATCAAGTTTCCAAATCTTTACCACTCAACAAAATCCACTAATTTTCTGCTAAAAAAGCAAGCGCAAGTTCATTGCAATTAAAAAAATTAAATTGCGCTAAAATCTTTATTAGGAGGCCGAAATAACTCCTAAATATAGTTGTAAAATTAATAGACCACCATTAAGATTTTTTCTTGTGTAGCATAGATGAATAATGTTAAGGCTAAAATACTATAGTTGGTAATATATTTATGGTCGAAAAACATGATACTAAAGGGTGCGTTGTTTATAATACAATTTCTTGTTTTAGTCCTCCGCAATTTAGTCTTGTGTGGCGCGTCGGGATGTCTTCTTCGAAGACGTCGAACACATATAATCGGCAGAATTGGGAGGATTCTGTGAGTGTAAAGGCCTTTTTATGGTCCCTTTTACCATTAATACCAGGGATTTAATCTCCTCGTCATAAGGGCTATTCACGCTCAAGTGCAAGGGCTGTTTTTGGCTGCCTTTTACATCTGGCCTTCTGTTTACTTATAAAGTTGCTAACTCGTTGCGATATCTACGCTTCTTGGTCGTGCTTCATTATTCTGACACCGTTATAAACCCCGTCTTCTTACCCACGCGGTCCTCTTTATAGTTGCCAATCTTGCAGTTATCCCACATTTTGACACGTTTAGTGTCAAATACGTTGTTCCATAGTTCGCCAATGCTTTTGACCCAATCCGCGACCCTTACTGTGCCTTATTTAAGCTATAAGATTCTTTCACAGAATTCTGGTGGCTAAATTTATGGGAGTCAGTTGTTAAACTAGTTTATTTTGAGGGCGTGAAGAGTCTTTGTACAAATGTATTAAGTTATCTCACTTTTACCCCTTAGAGTTTCCCAATTCTCTGTGAGACATGTCTTGGACCCAGTCCGTTTGTCCGCATGATGCGCGAACAATATGGAAAGGAATGCAAGATATGTTCTCGTCCGTTTACCGTTTTTCGGTGGAGTCCTGGTCCCAAGGCTCGCTTCAAAAAAACAGAAATCTGTCAGACGTGCGCTAAGGTGAAGAACGTCTGTCAGACATGTATTTTTGATCTGGAGTATGGTCTTCCCGTTGAGGTCCGAGATAAGGCTCTTCGACTAAACCAGCAACTCCCCCGAAGCGACGTTAATCGGGAATATTTCCACCAGCAAATTGAACAGCAGCTAGAGGCCTCGGGTGACGTTACGGCCCCCTATGGGGGTCACGAATTCATTGGGAAAGCGATTGTTAGCTCCAATGCCTCCACAGGGACTGCTAGCTCTGATCTGCTCCTAAAACTTGCTCGCACCACACCTTACTACCGGCGCAATCGTCCGCACATTTGCTCATTCTGGGTGAAGGGCGAATGTCGTCGAGGTGAGGAGTGTCCCTATAGACATGAAAAACCAACTGATCCCGACGATCCCCTCTCGGACCAGAATCTTCGTGATCGCTACTACGGCAATGACGACCCCGTCGCCGCAAAACTGCTTTCAAAATACCGCGCAATGCCGAAGCTAACGCCACCCGAAGATAGCACCATCACCACAATATACATTGGTGGTGTGCCGGCGGATATAACGGAGAAGGATCTTCGCGATCATTTCTACCAGTTTGGCGAGCTACGGTCAGTCAGCGTACACTACAAGCAGCACTGCGCCTTTTTACAGTTCACTACCCGTGAGGCCGCTGAGCGCGCTGCTGAGCGAAGCTACGATCGTTTGATTTTACGGGGCCATCGTTTGACCGTGAATTGGGGAAAATCGCCAGCTGCCTTGGCTGCTGCAAGCGCTGGGATAAGTGTGACTGGAGTGATTGATGCAGGGCCTTTACCTCCGGTTCCGGGTCTTCCATTGCCACCTGTACCGCCACCCCCTTCGTTGCTCTCTTCGGTGTCCGCGTCTTCCGTCTGCCCAATGCCTGCGATTCCCGGTCCGAGCGGTGCTTTCTTCTCTGCCCCTCCGCCTCCACCTCTACCCATGCCCGTGGTTCAACTCGCGCCTCCCGTTGTTGATCCTGCTGGTGAGTTTTGTTGTTCTCCTTGGGGAACAATAAAAAGCAATTGTTTATTGCCACTGAAATTTGCCGCCTTTTGCATTTAACAGCTTTTATGACTGGACAGAGGGGACCTCTGCCACCTCCGCTGCTGTCAGCACCACCACCGCCGCCACCGCCACCTCCAGTAATACAACGAGAAGAGGGGGAAATGGGGAAGGTGGAAAAAGAAATAGCAGTAGAAAAGGGGGAGGAAAGACCAGTGTTGTTGGATCAACCGCCATCGATGCTACAGTCACCGCAACCAACTGTGGCTCAGGATTTGCCCTCACTGGGAATCCACTATCCCAGTCAGAACCCTCAGCGAATGGGCAGTGTGCCACAATCGCAGAGGCATGTCTAGCGGAAGTGTTTTATTTTATGTACTTGTGTGCGTGTGTATCTGACTACTCACTTTGTTCGCCAGCATTAAAATGCAAAAAGGATAACTTTGTTTACATTTGTGAGACTATTTTACGGTTGGATTTCTTAAAATGGAAATTGCCACGTAGTAGTGCAGGGTACTACTGGTGGTGGAGTGGTTGGGGCCGACCATTTGATTGGTGGTGGGTGGCGCCCGGCCGTCGCGTCATTGATCGAGGCATTCACTACCCCGTATGGGGCTTTACTAGCTTGTCAAGTTATTATGATACATGGCTTTCTAGTCGCGCCTTTGCTCAACTCAATGGGTGGGGAAGTGCTCAACCAGCAGTATCCTCAGGGAGTTCTATGAATTCGCCAGGATGAGGGTAACTTAAGGGAACAGGGTGCACCGCACAGGTATTTACAATTTGACCACGACTACACAGGAATAGGAAATACCTGACGGTGCTAAAGTTCACAGCGTTTTGCTGACATCACCGAGTTGCCGGAACATTACTAACCTGGTTGGTAAGCCCCCGCACTGCTCCAGTCGCAAAGGACCCCAATGCAGAGTCCAAAAGTCCGATAATCGTAGAATACTTTATCCCCCGCTGCTGGTTCGTGGAAGGTGTATGAGAAGAAGCTTAGACCCGGTGAAACAGGTCAACATTTGAAGAGTGAAGAGTCTGAATTTAGACTGCTGGGATAGCTAGTAGATCTTAGGTCAGTTTCTCTTATCCCAAATGTAAGAAATTTATTTTGATTCTCCTGGATTACCATCGATTTCGCACCCTTCTCTTTCCACACCCCAAAAAACGGCTGTTCCAGGTCCATTTCACGAAACCAAGAATTGACGCATTCATGTCAAACCAGGACGCAAAGTTTTTCGCTAATCAACAGCTCAACCATCTCTCTGGAATAGCAGCAATCAAGCGTTCCACGCACAGAGTAGACTTTCACAGAATCCAGCCCCCACAGTGGCGATTGTCACTGACACGCATAGGGACAGGGGCACTGGAAACGGTTGTTATTTCAGTCTCATTGTTTAAAAAGGTTGAGTATTCGATCATCGCACCAGATCGTGCTAAAAGCCTTCTCTACAAATTTCAGCTTTTATTGGCAAGCTACTTTATTCCTTGCAGCATGATGTTTCCTCTGGGCGATGTCACTAGTGACGCTGAGGAAATGAGTCCTAACTTTTCCAATTCGTCTAGTTCACATTTTTCGGCCTGTCACATCCGCATTTCGTTCTTCATTACTTTAAAAAGTGGGATCTTGTTAGGGTAAATGGAGCTGGAAAACCGATCTTAAGTGATTTTTGACTGTCGGAACAACAGGGGATGGCGACATCACAAAAAAATGATACGGTGGCTTATTGGTGGTCCTGGCAGCGATGTGATTCAAGAAGGCACTTCGGATTAGAGCACATATTACTGCTAAAATTCGTGGTGTCTGAAAAAGTGGTTTGACAAATGACTTTCCTGTGGCAACCAACTATGAGTTGCCCTCCCTTACTCTCAACGGAGTAGCAACAGTAGCGGCGGTCCAACGTACCTCCGGTGGTCACTGCTCCTATTTCCATCACCCTCCCTCCTTTAACGACACGAGCTCTGTCGGCGCTGTAACAGCCGCTGCAACGACGGTACCGTCATCATTATCTCAGCCTGCAACATTTCTCTTCCTGCCTTTTTCTTCTCCCCCGTCCCTTCCCTCTTACCAGCCATTCATCAATCCCGATGTTGATATGTCAATTTCTCCCCCCGCCTTTCAATGCTCGAGGGAATTCGGCTCTGTAATACACCCACCTACCTCCCACACCAGCTTCTCTTTAACAGCTTTTTGATGGAAGGATGGCTGAAAACAAGACTCATCATTCCCACTTTTCTTGGTTATACCTCTCCGCCTCCTCTATCTATGTATTGTCCAACTATCGTCTTGGATGCTACGGTAGCAGCAGCTAATTTTCCTCAGTCTCCAGCTATTCTCCAAATGGACGTGAAACTTTTTGCTATGTTGCTTACAGTCGTACCTAGATCTGTCAGTCCTGTCTGTGCGTGTGTGCGCGTATTTAGGGCTTTAAGTTAGAGAAGAGGAACTTAAACTAGCAAATCTTTAAAAAAATAAAATTCCCTATTAGCTAAGTGGGAAGAGGAAGTGTAACACGTTCAGTCGTTCAAAGCAGAGCTGCATTCTTGATACCGCTATTCTTGGTCCACCTCCGGTGCCGTTCATTGAGATGAAGAACAAAATTTAACTCATTAATTGTCTTATTCTTTTAGGCAACCTTTGTCTACATCTTTATTAAGCCAGTGTCCAAGTGGATGAGTGGACAGGTGGGTAAATGTGGAGAGCGACTGAATCGAACGGACCCTTCGGGGTTACAGGCATGCTGCAGTAGTAAGTGACAAGGCAGTACTTTTGCTGATGCACAATAAAAACGGAGGAAAGGAGCGGTAGTACTTTGTGCACTGAGTGGTTAGCACTTTTGACTTCTCCCAGGCCTCCTCTACATGAGCAATAGATCTTCTTCCACACCGTTTTGGTCCATTAAGATGCAAGGGAAGGCTCAGAGCTCTACACTGCAAATCCAAAAGTGCCAGTCAGACTTAGACACCGCTCGAATTGCGAACTGTATCGTACTTGAGAGCTGAAGCGAATTTCTCGTCTTATTACGCTACTTCCACGGTCTAGATGGCTTGAGGAAAGGCCACTTTTGCAAAGAAGAAAACCGTCTACTCTTTCCGCGTTCAGTTGAAATCGTTGATTTTCTTCGACTACCAATGGATAGATGGTTGGATAGATGAATGGACGAACGGATAAGTGAATGGGTTGTTTAAATGCACTAGCCACTCATTGTTATTCCGCAAGTAATATGAAGGTGGCTACTACCGCCAAGGATTGCAACGGTAACCAAACAAAAACTGTCCAAAAATGTCCTTAGACTCAATCTCCGCTGCAATGACACAAACTTCTCCGTGGAAGATCTTGGGATATACCTGCATGCTGATCACAATAATGGCAAGCTGATTGAATGCAGCATCACTATTTTAAAATCACAAGGAGAAAAATAGAACCGGATCGGAGAGTGGGGCAGTCAATCAGTAAGAAATTGCCAATTTAATGGCTGACAAGGCAACCTTTTGAATAACCAGCAATAGAGAACTACCCAGCATTGAAATCACTTTGTTGTAAAGTGGTTGAAATTTGGGTGGCTTGAAAGACAACCTGGCCAGAGATTTTAGTGACACATGAGAAATTCAGATTTGAAGTGTAGTTATAACCCAATTTCCCCAAATTATTGTTCCTTTTGCATCGAAAATAGGAGTACCAATTAGCTCTGCCCTGCCTTGAGCATACCGCTCCCGCATGTCACATTTGACGTGGACTCAGAAATAGGTGTGACATTTGCTCTTGTGTGGCATTCAAGGTAGCAGCAATTAGGTATTTTGAAAATATCTTCCCTTTATAAATCTGCATTCTAGGTAAAGTGTTTAGGTGAATCTTCTTCCTGGATTTCACATCACCACAAAAACGGTCGCTGTCATGAGTGACGCCAAGCTTGGCAGTTGCTGTAACAACGCCTCACATAGCCTTCATCAACCAGCCGGACGGTTGAAGCCTGGGAAGGGTAATGATTTTAAGTACGCTCTGGAATGCTCTACATCCCCGGCTACCCTGACATACTCATGATTGCTGCCTGATATTCCATCACTGCTTTCACTTAAACTAAATGAATGGATGGATGGATAGATGAGCAAAAAAGATGGATAAATAGCTGTCCGAGTGGACTAGGTACAAAAAAGGACAAAATACTGGATAAGTACTGATATAACAAGTAAATGACAGATGGGTAGCAGAAGGGCAAGGGGAGGGAACATGGGTTGACTCAAGAACGGAAAGTATCTGGGAGAGATCTGGAATGCATAGATAGCTAGCTCGACACAGGGTGAATATATGTGAGGAATCAAGAAATAGTGGATAGACGAATAGATATAGGGGTAAGTGGATGGTTTGGAGACAACTTAATTCAAATTGAACCAATGAAGAAAAATAAAGAGAGCCTAGAGATCAAATTGCTTTATAAACGTTAGCGTTTGTATGATGGTTTGGGCAAGAAATCCCATTTCTGGGGGCTACCTTTGCCTTGAGCCATCTCATCAAATGCACAAAACTGATAGTAGGAACTTCTATCAATCTGACACCACTTATAATTCCGCTTATTTGCATCTAAAGGTGCTCCAAAAAGGAAAACTTAAACAAACTCTTTTCCTGAACTTATAATTTTGGGCCTTTTTTTAATTTGAACTTTACATTCCAGTCTCTCTGAAATGAAGAGATTTGCCAGCACTAACACTGCTTAGGATCAAGGACGCACAAAGGGCTGTCACGAGGGTGGTTTTTATGATGCTGTCGGAAATTCTGCTACTTTATTTAAATTTAATATCTAGACATATCCCTACTTCTTCCTAGACCAAGAATTTCAAGCTTTAACAATTACTCCAACCTCAGCAAATTCTGATACCGTCGTTGTTGGTGCTGTAGCCGCTGCAATTAGGTGTGCTTCTAGTGTTAATGTTTTGTCTTCAATTACAATCTTCATCACAGCAATTCTTTTCACAAATCCAAACGTCTCTGCCGCTGTTCCTGCTAGTCAAGCCCTTGCTTATACCACAACTCTCAAATCCACGCCAACCACGACCACTGATAATGACGCCATAGCGACAGAAACAACAACTTCATCGTTGCCTTAAACCCATTTTCCACTTTCTCTTCCCCATGGCAGACACTTTTATTTCTTTTGAATCCATTCAGTTTTACCCTCTTAACTCCGCTCTCTCCTTCCAGTCCTCCATTGCATTCGTTTCTCACCGCTTCATGCGTGTAGAGCAGACAACGATGATGTTAACAATCACTTACATCTCTTTCCTTTCTGCAGGATTATAGGAAATATTGCGATTTTTGAAGTTTGTTGGTTAGTAATTCTGCTTTCCCTTCTTCTTCTTTATAGAGGATTAAAGTGCTCAGCATGAGCTTGTGCTCAAATGATGAGAGTCTGGGGTCGGGAAGGGAGAGAGGACTTCAGAAAGTCTGTCTAAATGGGAGCTGATATTTGTAGTAATGTAAATCTCTTCTGATCTTATTTGGCAAGGTGTCGCTTCTTTGTGCTCCATGCTGTTATTAGCATCCACGCCTAGTTTGAATGAGTGGGTGATGCCATCACAAAGTCTGAAGATTCCCTGTTTAATGGATGGAGAAGTTTTGCACGTAATGCATTTTTGACACTATGGCAAGCCTTCCACTCGTCTGCAGCATGACTTAAATAAAGAAAGTTGTTCTTGAACACCATCTATATATACGATGTGAAGAGAGCGCCTCTATCATATTCTATTTGTCTTTGGTCTTCTCCGGTAAGGGTACACATCTGAAGTGTTTTGCCGTGCAGACGTCGAAGCCTCCAATAGCTGTTTGAAGCGGTTGTTAGGGCATTTCAGAAAATAACTCAGGCCAAGTAGCCTCTTCAGCTCATGCAAGTCAGTGTATCAGCCTATGTGACTGCTACCCCAAGGTCAAGCAAGTTAATTTGTTGTGCGTGTGTTGAAGCACATTGGCGGCGATTGCATTATGGCAAGTAGTCTTCACTTAAACATTCCGTTCGTAAATCTTGTCTTCATTAAAAAGCCTAAAATGAAGTCTTTTCTTCGTCTTCCCTTGCACCACTGCATCATCAAGAGTGCTATTGTTACCAAAAGTACAAGCATTGAGAAAATAGACTTTGAAGGCAAGAGGAATAAAACTGAGTAGTCAGCGTCTCTCACTTCAACGCAAAGACATAGAACACTCTCATCCCTAATGAGGAAGGAGAAGAGCTGGACAAATCGTCTAAAAACTAGAACAATATGGTTTAACGCAATCTTCACTCATCTGCTGCAAGTTTGGATGTTTGTGGAGAGGTGGGTGAGAGAAAGAGAACGACGACTGCAACAGCTGCCAAACAATTGGATGGGGATTTGAATAAGATGGAGCATACTGTACCATATTGTAGTGTCTGTGAATTTTAGTAATGAGTTCCTCCAAGATAGATGGATCTATCTACTACCACACTGTTCATCCCACACTTCTAAGGCACCCACCACTTTGTCCTCAACACATTATGATCCTTCTTGGGTCCGAACGTATGTATTATGCACTGCAGAAGCCACTTTTTACCTGTTGAAGGCCAATCAACCACGTCGGAGATCAATCCATCATCCTACCTCTCTCCCTCTCTTTCCGTTGATCTACCCAAAACAGTCTAATCCAACTCAATTTAACTGGAAATTTGCCAAAACTACCTTCTTCTTAAGGAACGGTCATCACTAATGACTAGGGCAAAGTGACTGGTATCTAATGTGTCTGCAGGACGAATGCCCTGTCCTTCGTCTAGCTGGACACACCTCCATTTGGTTGCTAAAGTGTCAGAACAGAGGGTTTGGGCTGCACTTGACTGCTTGCAGCTCATACCAGCAAAGGCGGCAACGACGATAACATGGATGAATGCGGATGTTCAGCGATATCTGGAGCATCCAAGTTCCACGCCATTAGCGCGACGCTTCGAAGTTAAAAGAAGATCACACATTAAGCAAATTTGAAAACGATGCGAAATCACCCAGACGAAATACTAGTTAAGCGGCCCTAGCTTCTCACTACAGAGTTCTTCGCGTTTACTTTAAAGATGTTTCTACGCAGGCATGCCTCATACGATCTGATATAACTCGGACGACACACCGATGCTGGTACAAAGGGGTATGTCCTTTTAACATTTTTGGTGCCATTTTATAGGTGAAGTGAAAGTTAATTCCCGTGAAATCAACAAGAGCCGTTGTCAAAATGTTTGAAATTTTAGACCTTTTTGCATCTGCATTTAATTCATTTGAGTGGTATCAGTATAGTAGACGCAAAAAGTAATCGCAAGGAATACGCTCAAGGAAAGAAAGACAGCCACTCAGAACAGGAGTTATCTCGTCTGACCTAGTTAGCAGTCGATTTTTGGGTATTTTTAATTATGAATTACAAAAATATTATTTTGAAGTACATCCACAGTGTCATGGGATAACAAAGGTATAGCCACAATCAAAGCAACAGACAGCACACATGGGCCGCTATTTTCGAATGTACCTCATATTGAAAAAAGTACAATAGAGCTGTCTATACCAGTTGAAAATGGTTAATACATTCCAGTTTTGACACAATCAATTTGAGAGCTGCAACATAAAACGGATTCAAGAGGCGAATTCGAAGCATTCAACAATGCGTGCGGGTTAGTCACCCCAACTGCCCTCCCTTTCTCAGTGACGACAGTCAAATGCAGGGTCATTCAGCACGCCACTAACTCCTCAAACCATTTCATTTAGAAATGAACTTTTCTGCCTGCTTGTTTACTCAAAATTAATGTAATCGCCAATTAAACTCTTAGAGGACGAATGATATTTGTAATACACACCCATTTAAGTAATCCTTAAGAATGACGCACCTCCTCCATCAGGTATTAACCTTCAGTGATGAGTCTGGGGGTGGCTGTATTACAAGCTCATTTAATCATGCATCCTTTAGGTGCACGGCTTTTCGGCCTATTTTGGGGCACATTCTTCAGCACCCCTGTGATTTCTGCTTTCAGTGTTCCACTGTTTTGAACCTCTACGAAAGACTTCAAACCAGTGATGGTTGTGTTTGAAATCCGAGCTATGAAAATTTATCTAACGTATTTGAAGTCCACTAAGAGCTGGACAATATTCTGCAAAGTTTATTTCACATATCACTGATTTGTCATTGCGAATGTTGCCCAAAAGCTTTATGATAGGAAGGACGGCCTCGGAGGCACAAGTCGCTTCCTATTCGTCAATTTCACATTGTCATAATTTCAAGGCTGACAAGTCGTCTGCTTGAATTGCTCTCCGCATCAGTCATCACGGTAGTATTCGAACAACATCAACTGCAAGACAGGTAATAACCTTGGCAGAGCAGGACCACATGAAACAATGAGCATATTAACAAGGCTGTTGTCCTTGGAGAAGGACCTGTGTGTCTTAGTGTCTTAGGAAAGAGTCACTCTAAAAAGAGGAAAATTATCAGCTTCAATCACTTACTTCTACCATTATCATGCACTATGGCTTCTAGTTCCTCAAATTAATGTCTGCTTTGATGCCTCAAAAGCATTATTTAGTTGTCACTCGCCGGTCCCACTCCTGGCTACTACTAACCAGTTGGATCCGCTCCAACTCATGTCTTCATGGGTGGTTATCTTAGGGTAAATAAGGTAGAAGTGATGGAGGGAGATACCAGGTACCGAAAGGCAAAGAAAGAAGGCGAAGAGGACCGTTGCAAAATGTGTACAAACAGAGGCAGCCAAGTTAAGGTATTTCATCATACAGACATAGAACAATGAAAATGCCTGTCTCAATGACAGGCCAGTGGATGGGTGAAAGGATGTGATACCGTTGTTTGCTGCACCGCGTAGGTGATATCTGTGAATGTTTTGTAAGCTCAACTTAGTCGGCAGAATTTTGACGCTACAATTTGAAAATACAAGCAAAACTATTGTCAGCACACTCCACAAATAACTAAATCCATTTATTTTAACTAAACGTGGTGAAAATTAAGCACCAAATCACCCCGCCAATCGGGGTTGGCAATTTCACACGAAGGAGATGGAATAGTTCAGATTTGCGCTTGGGAGAGAGGTAACTTGAACCGTAGCACCTACCACTGTTGGAATGCGCTTTGCTGGAAGAAGAGGGTGAAGGAAGTGGCGGTGTGCTACCTCGGTCTGAACCACTCACTATCCACTAACAAACTCTCCTCGCCTACTCTTATTGTGAAAGTACACAAAACAATTTAATTACATCACAAACTTTAAAGTATGTCACACCTCAGCAAAGGGAATGAAACTTAAGTAACTCTATCGAGCAAACCACCTGTCTGGGTGTCAGTAGATTAAAGCAGTAGGAGGCGTCAGATTCCAGGTCACCCATGTTTTCCGAGCATCCCAGAATACGTTTCAAGAGTGATGGTAGTGGAAGTGGTAGTAGAGATCGTCCACTTACGAAGTAGAAGACGGTTGCTCTCTGTGGTAAGACTCACTTAAATATATCGGCATGTAAAGGTCAGTCGCCTTGACCGCAGTCATCTAATTCTTTCCCGTTCGTTACTTTTCCACTATCTTAGGCTGAAAGTAAGACTAAAGCGGAAGCATGGGATAAGCTCACTCCAGAAGTAGGAGCGGGAGCAAAACGATAAGGAGTTTATTTAATATGATTTTAGTTTTGGTAGATTTATTTACACCGGCTCGCATTCGTCTACTCTCACGCCATCCACAGATGCATAAAAAGATGTAGGAATGGAGGGATGGAAGGAAAAGTCAAGAATGATTAGGATCAAGGTCAGTCATAGTATACCTGCGTTTGTTATAATTTTGTATGTTTGTTAAATAAGGGAAATGAAAAAAAGGATGGAATGACTGGGGGAGGAATTTACAATAGTATTCAGTCGCTGCTACTGCCGCTGCTGCTGATGTGACCACTAAAATTACTGTAATGGGGGAATGACTAAGAAAGGGGATGGGAAGGCGGTAAAGACGTTCATATATGAGAAAGGAAAACAGAGAGCTAGGAAGAAAGCAGGGTAAAACCAGTAAAAATGGCTAGAAAGAATAAGTGAATGCAATAGGGCTGAAAGGGGAGGTTTACAGCAGGCTGAGAAAAAGGCCTCGACGATCCCATAATTGCTAGCTTTGTTGTAACTTCTTCCTTTCCATTCTAGTCATTACCACCAAGACAGTGAGAGTAACGATGAGCAAATCTTCGTTGCTTTCCCCTACGTTTCCTCATTTCTTCGGGCTGTTTTTAATCCAGTGAAAGCGACTACCATTTATCCACCCAATGTGGCCCTTTATCATCCAAAATACAACTGCATAATTTTCTCATGCTTGGGCTGGGTATGCTAAAATTGGCGTGTCTTTAGCTGATCTCGCTCAATTCCTTAAACTAATGTACAGCAATATTTTGCAAAAGTTAAAGGAAAGATTTTTACTAAAAAAGGTTTGTTTGGGTTATTTTATTCACTTTGGCACAACTTAGAACTATTTCTTTATAACTCCTTTTTGTGAAATTAAAATAATGCAGCTGCCGTATGAACCAGTGGTGTGTAGTGCTCTGAGGCGTCCACGAAGCTGTAATAGAAAAATTTTGTGTTTTTTGTGTGGAATGGTTTAAAAGGCTAAAGCTAAACCATCACAAACACCTCCATTGCAGCCTCCAGAAATCTAAACACCATTAAACAAAGGTTTAGCCATCCAGAAACCACCTGTTCATACTTCCATTACTAATGTTGCCCGCATCCACTTTTCTTGTTTCCTTTTTTATATTCACCTTATCCATATCTACCCATCTATTTATTCAAGATCTACCCTAAACATCTTTACTTTTTTCTTTCATTCAAATTAAGTCCATTTATGTTTTCTCCGCCTAAGATTCTATTATCCATCAACTATATTGTTACAGCAGTTCTCATCCAGTAATTTTGCTCCTTAAAACTTTTAATCACCTTTTCACACCTTATCCATCCATCCAGTTATTTACTAATCTTCTTACTTATCGAATTATTCATCCATTCATTCGGTGCAAACGAACCCAGTGATAGAATATCAAACAGTAGCTATGAGTAGGTTTTCGTTTCTAGGGCTTGTGAAACATTCCAGTGGGTGCACAAAATTTCTGCCTTTCCTCAGCTTTGACTGTTCGGCCGGTTGACGCAGGCGATATGAGGTGTAGTTACGGAAAGGCGAATGCCAAGTTCGGCATCTCTCCACCTCGTTCTTCTAATCTCTCCATCGATGACGACGAACATTGTGGTTGTAGTACCGATATACAGGCAAATGGGTGGACAGGGGAATAGGTAGATAGATGAGTGAATGGATGATGATTCCTAAAACACCTGACTGCTTTTACCTTAAACTTTACAAAAGTGGGAAGGCACTTCCGAACGCGAGTCAAATGCAACAAAGCTTGAGATTTCGCCTGGGCACGTATTCGGCTCTTTTATACTATCTATGGTCACATATTCGCTCTCCCAGCATGTGTTACTGTCAATCTCTAGATTTGCTATGATCTTAATTCAATTTCTTCTGTATATTTTAACGCAACCATTGTTAACGTTAGCTGGCCTGATATCTGATATAGACGAAATGTATTTAGTCGATAATCATTGTGGAACGCTTTGGCTGGATACGATGGAACATCTTATTCGAATAAGTAAACTGAATTTAGAACGGTAGGAAATAAACATCCACCATAGTTATAGCCTGCGATTCGAGTGATTGGTCAAGGACAAGAAACTTAACTGCCAAATACCTGCGATCGAACAGTAAAATAAAGGGATGTGACTTACGCACCTAACAAGATTTTGACAGAGAGACAAGGAATTCATTTGGGTGTCGATCATACTAAACCGTGGTGTTCTTCCCTGATGGTTGATTAAGTACACTTTGTCTACATGGGACATCAGCCAAACTTGTCTACCTTACCGTCCATTCGCCACCATCGGTTGCGTACGCGTGCCGGAGGTGTGGGATGAGCTGATCCGAGGTGAGGTGGAGTGAGGATATCAGAGATCATGGCGGTATAAGCTGATGGCTTAAAATGAGCATTTCAAGAGTTATTTAAATTCACCTTGGGATAAAAAGGCCTTTTTTATGACGCGGGGTAGTGGCGTATGAAACCAATTTGCTTGTCTAGATGTTAAATGGATAGTCTGAATTGCCGAAAGTTCGAGTGAACGCATCTACTTCCACTGTTTTACTTCTAAAACTTCTAACTAATAAAAGAGCCTTGCCAGCAACAGTCTATGTATTCAACAAAGCAGAACTTGATATCCACTGATGGGGAACTATATTCCTTCAATTTTCCTACAACCGCAAATTTTATGGATCCATTCTTGGTTTAGATTCCTCAAAAATCTCTTCTTAAGAAGCTTCACTACTGGAGCGAATCCCAGACAACTATACTTTGCGCATTTCTCTCCACCAGTGTTAGTAAATGAAAGAATTGCTTTCTCTTTGCATTCTAACCTTTGCCATTTATCACTTTACTCCCGTCATCTTGCTTTCTGTTAAGAGAACACTTTGGTACCTTTCTCCACAGCTGCCCAAATGCAAGAAATCCATTTTCCACACGTTTGTACTCAATTGCGTTGTTATTTTACCCCTACTTGTGGTACATGAGTTTGCCATAGCCACTGTAAAAGCGAAGGCGGAAATGCGTCGTTATTTTAGTAGCAGTCGAGTTTGCCAGATTTATGCAGCACCAGGTAATTAACTGAATAAATTAAATCCTTCTGCGCTACTAAAGGGACCGACTGATGCAGTTCTCAATATTTTTTCGTCAATCTTTAAAGTAGAAGGCACTTTGTTATCCTATTTAGTGAAATGTACAGGACAGTACACTACCAACACAGGATACGTACTACGATGTGTTTCTGCAGCTCCGAATTTGCAATCGGATTGCAGGAATGCGCACTGCTGATCCTCTACTGCAAGCACCCGCTCTTTTACAATCTCTGTTAAGAGGCGATTTCACAGGTGTCACGCCTCTTTCTGTCTTCAGCTATTAGCATCCTAAGTTACACATTGTTTGTGTTTCAATCTTGAATACCTTTATCAAATTGCAGACCCAGACTGGGCTAACCTGGTTGGTAACAAAGAAAAGGTGCTTAAAACCGACAACCATTGATTGCTGACTGCAGATGAAATTGAAGATGATAAATTTCACACATAGAGATCAAAATGGCTCAGTCGTGTGCCAGAAAGGGAGGTGACTCGGAGCGTGGCACCGACTACTGTTGCATTGTGCTTTTCTAGAAGAAGGAGGTGAAGAAAATGGCTGTGTGACACGCTGATGTGGACCACTCACCGACCATTTACCAGCTGTCCTCACGAATTCTTAGCGCCAGGGCACAGCCCATATCCTCGCCTCATCAACAACAACTACAGTAACGCAATTATCATCATCATCAACCTCATCTTTCCTTTATTTGAGATGAGGGTGTTTTATGCCCATGCTTTGATTTGAAAAAAAAGGCTTTCATGTAATTTCCCCTGATTTTTCAGTCTTTCTGTAGGTCCCTTCATCCTAACAAGCTTAACTCAGTTTTTAGTAGGAAAAATCCATTCTTAATTCATTCAAGCATGATAATTACATATTTTTGTCACCTATGTTTTACTTTTGCTTGGTTTGCTTTTGCTTTTAGTAATCACGAAAACAATCGACTTCTAGCCACATGTGCTACTCACCCTTATTTTTATACCCCTCTGTCCATTTTGCTCGCGATCACGTTATTGCCAAAGAAGGTGGTAATCACTTAGAGTATCGAGAGACTACGGAGGATGGTAACGGAAGTGAAGATGAGGCTGTTTCCTACCCTTTTCTGCCTACTTCTTCCATCTCCACAGGCGCATTTCCCCGCTGTATGAGAAATGAGGCGGGAAGTGTTGCATTGCGTAGACTCACTACAAGGAGTGTAAGAATAGGGCATTCCCTTGAGGGACTCACTAGCCACTTGGTGTTATTTACTGGTTTGACTGTTTCTCAAGAAGGAATTATTCTTGGTCACCTTCCATTTGTAGTGAGATGGATTGAGTTGAGTCGAGTTGATAAATAGGGAGGGAGAAAGAAGCGTATAGATGGTATATGGAGTGATCTTGAATGTGGGCGTTTGATCTTTATCAGGTTGGACATTGTCTTGCACATAGGCAAGTACATAAAAAGGACGCGTGATACGGTAGAAGTGAAACGGTGGCCGCCTTGGTAGTAAGGTGGTATTGAATAGTCAGCAGAATAATGACATTTTGAGTAGCCTAACGAATATTAAAATAAAATCTATACGTCATTTCTCAACATAGCTCCTTAGTCGGTCAATTAACAATGCAAAACTTCGCCTTTTACTTTTATTGCGAATCACTCCATCAGTAGGCACACATTAATCTGCATGATCAAGAGGAGAGCAGACTCCCTCTTGAGTGTAATGCAGCACCCATCATGGAGAGGCTCATCAAAATTTAGGAAGTACATTCTGGCATTGCGTACTCGTCTTTCCCAGGCACCACATAAAAAGCTTTCCGCTTTGTTTATTTTTACTTCTCCTGCCCAGCTTATTGTGCAGCAGCTATTAATATCATCTTTCTCTTCGTCGTACCCATCATTCTTACAAGCACTCGACCTTACACTAGGTCAGAGACGATTGAGTAAAATCACCTTTTTCCAGTGTTTCGATGATTACTCCACTTCTTCTGCCTCTTCCGCATTTGGGTGAGGGTGTTTCAGGCCCTTTGTGCTGCCACCACACAACCCAATTGTTACAATATCAGTGGATTAGAACAGTACGAGGCGTTAGTTTCCAGGTTACCCTTGTTTTTCGTTCTTGTTAGAATGTACTTACAGGGAAGCAGTAGTAGTAATAGGGGTAGTAGAAGGCAGCTCATGCGGACCGTTTACCTAAGAGGTAGAGAAGAGGATCTCGTCTTTCCGAAAGCGGTTGTTTCCTATGATAAAACCCACTTGAATGCATTGAAATGTGATTAGTCGTTACCCTGACTACGGTAACCTATTCTTTCCCTTTTGGTGTCGTTTTGATCTCGTAAACCAAAGAGACAGAGAACCTGTACAGTGAGTTTTTCGTCTATGACCTTAAAAAGTAGAGATGACTATTAACTCTGTGGTTTTTCTCTGTAAAGTCGTACACTAGGATTAAAAATTTTGCTGTATGTCAGAGGAAAGAGCATGAGATGAAAGCTATTTAAGGGCGCTGGCAGACTACTACTCAGGCCCGTCATGTCTTGAACGTTGACCTCAGTACTGCAACAACGTCTAATGGTACGGATTACAAATTCAGCTGTAATGATGGTATTAGATGAACGCTTTGCATTCTTCTGTAAGAATAGGATATTTCTCCTTCGTTATCTTAGTCCAGAAGTTAAACCAGAAATAAAAGCACGGGACACTCTCACCCTAGAAGCAGAAAGTGGAAACAGAACGATAAGCAGTCTATTCAATAGGATTTTAGTTTTAACAGATTTACTAACACCAGCACGCATTCGTCTGCTCTCACACCATCCACAGTTGCACAAAAAAGACGTAGGAATGGAGGACCAGAGGGAATGGGCAACAGTGACCAGGGTCAAGGTCAATCGTGGTATACCTGCGTTTGCTATGATCTCGTGTGCTTGTGAGAAAAAGCAAACGAGGAAGAAGAACGGAATGCTTGACTAAGGAAGTTTCAATCGTTTTTAGCCGCTGCTGCCGCTGATGCGACCGCTGCTAGTTCTTGAATCAAAAAAGATGAATGTGGAGCGAGGTTGAGGAAGTGGAGTTTAGGTGGGATGAGCGGGAAAGAAGAGGCAGTACTGTAACAAGGCCCATTTTTGTAAATATTGAAGAAGGTACCAGCAGGTGCCTATAGTAGGAGAGGGTTGATAAAATAAGAGCACTCACGCAACAATCGAGGAATGGTGTTGATACGGAGGTTGAATTGGAAGAGAAAATAAATTCATTTAAGAGAAGATGAAGGAAAGGATGGAATCAGGCTGAAATCAGCGGCAATTCCATTCTCGTGGTGATAATGACAGAGGCAGTAGAGATAGAAGTAGCAAGCTTGGTGATTGAGGTAGAATTTGCGATCGCCTCCGCCCTTCTTCTGCTGCCATTGAATAGGTATTGTTGTCTTTGTCGTTCCTGTAGTAGTTGCTGCTACTGCTGCAGCCTTTGGAAATAAGGCGAGGAGATGGGCTGTATTCTCACATTAAGTGTAGTCTAAGACAGGTGGCAGGTGTTCAGTGTGTCGTCAAGATAAGCGCAGCAGATCTCCATTCCTCTATTTACGCTCATCCATGCAAGCGAGTCCCAACAATGGTAGGTGCCAAGCTGCTGAGTGCTTCTTGGAGTCATCACTTCTCCAGAGACAGTGTATGAGCCACCTCTTCTTTTTGTAATGTTATCGACGCCAAAAGAACCTGCATAGTCAGTACTCAACAAGTAATAGTTTCACGCTTTCTCCACTTTGTTGCAGCCTTCAATGCACTTAAGAGTAATACGAAGGTACAGCTGAATAAGGCCGGGAATAACAGTAGATTGAGAAGGAACAGAAGAAAAATACTTACAACTATTAAACATCTCAATGACAGCATCTACAGAGGATCTAAAGAAGGATTTCATCCTAGAGTTGGTCTAGCGTGGGTTCAGAAGGAAAGCAATCCACAATCCGATGGCCGACTTGGTACTCTGGCGATACACCCTGATCCGTGTTATGCTATTGCATCGTGCATCGGTCAGTCAAAGAGAAGGTGGAAATACCTTTCAGTTAACTTAAAACAAAGGGGACAACTTTAAGGAATGCCGATGTAATGTGCCACTTTCAGGCAGTAACAAGGCCTGAAGCAACGGCTCCGTTTTGTGAAGAGGAGATGTGTTAACGATAGCGAAATTGAGCATTGGACTAATGTGGTGGAGCGAAAGCTCAGCAGCAATGGCAATAGATAATTTTCGTGAGGGAATGAACTAACCATCTCTAAAGGAAGTGACATGCCTTTAGCACATCTAGCGTCCAGATCGAATTCACCGTCATGTATTTCCACCAGAAATGCACCTTGCAAACGAAAGAAATAGAATGCGACCTAATTTACCGTCTTTAAAAAAGTCACGTATTTTAAGTATCCTTGAATGAAGGAAGATCATTTACTATACGGGCTTAGCTTGGTGGTTAGACTATTTCGCAGGCAAACTGCTGGTGTTTGGGGGAATAAGAACTACTTTTCCAAGTTCCTTTCCAAACTTACTAAAGCAGTCGGTGATTACTACCCTCCTTCGACGAGATAATTCATAAAATTCAGTCACACAAACTACGTTTAAAAAATAGACTTTAAGTAAGCATCAAATGCGTCTTAATAAACGACTAGTAAACATGAAATCATGTAGTGGATCCCTAAAATGTAACGCAGGCTTGTAGGTGCATTGCCTCTTCTACCATTTACTGCAACTCTAGGATATCTCTTGAATTCCAAAGTAAAAATGTTGCTTTCTTAAAGGACGCCATCGAATTACTCAAAGGACTTATTTGTGTTTGAAGAAGCGCTGGATGCAGATTTTAAATAGTTAAAAAATCATGACCTACACCACGCAAACTTAATTCAAATGAGAAAATTTCCTTTCTTGCAGACCAAATGTCAGCGGTTTTTGAACAAGTAAACACACAGCATCAAGCAATGATTACAAGAGGAAAGCAAAACGCAATGACTAGTCCAGGTAGAGGACAGTTTCCAAAATCTGTCTTTCTTTTATCTATTCGAGGCGCAAAGGCCGCTAGAGTAGACTCAATTTCTGTGAGCCTAAGGAAATCAAGCATTCCTAACTAGTTGGTTACCATGCTGGAGGGAATGCCGCTAAAGTAATTAATGTTGGCAAATCGCACAGGGCCGCAAAACCCCGTTCTTTCGATTGAGGGTAAAATCATTCTTTATGAAAAATTTCAGAGTTGCCTGCTTTTTGGACGTTGAGAGAGAGGTGTTATTAGACGCACTGCTATCATCGTCCTCCTCTCTTAGCTGGACTGTACTACCGTTATTACGGCTCGTTGCAGTTGCTGAATCATGATCTCGACATTAAGAGTTGCCAGATGTACTTTGGACAAGCAATTGTTTATTGGAGTTTACAAGTGGAGAGAAACTAAAAGAATCATTTTTGAAGTAGGATAAGAAACTCCGAACTGCAGTGTTTTGATCTGATGATAAAGCTATTGCTATTTTGTCGACAGGAGACACCGGTTTAAATAACTCAGTTCATTGTCTATTCTCGGCCAGAGAAAGTGTAAGGGTGGTGGAAGGTTCTGTCAACTCCGCTTGTCTGTAAGTATCCTTTTTATGCCTTATTTATAGATAGGCAAAGTGGGAAGTGACCGGGTAACACGTACACCAGCTGTCAATGTGACGGAAATGAGTGAGCAAACGCCAAGCTAACCTATGTAAGAAGATTTTAGTCGCTAGTTTGAATCCATGCGCAAAAAGTCACCCACACGTGTGTGGATACAGTCAGCATCAATCTCTACTCTAACCGCGCTTAACTGTTTGGTTCGTCGCCTTACCAAAATCACACCACAAATACCAAGCGGTTCGAGAGATAGAAGGACGAATGACACGTCTACTTGTCATCGATATGAAGGGATGAGAAGTACCATGAAATGGGTTTGTGGGCAGCCAACCAATCAATCTCCTATTTTACAACCACTTGACTGCGATTGGTAGTTTGTTAAAGTAATTTTGATGGAAGATTTGAATTAATACAGAAGTGGGGTAGAAAATTCTTGCAGAAGGTTTCATGAAACAGGACTGCGCTACTTTCCAGATATCTGCAGATAGATGATGCCAATGCAGAGTTCGCTGCTGCTACAAAAGAGCTGGGAAGAAGAATTACAGTTCAACGTAGAGATTATGGAAGAGAGAGATAAACAAGAGCTCTGTTTAACTTGTTACCACATCGGCTCAGAGCTGCTTTATGTCCGAAAAGCAACTGTTAGTAAAGAATATGAAAGAGAAAATGACTCACTTTCATTCCATCATTACCGTAGCAATTGCAAGATCCATCCTTTCAAAGTCAGAATCTGTCACTTTCAAATGATCCCACCTGGATTTACTCCCAACGACTGGCAAAATAAGCAAGATTTCTTAACTGGCAATTCATTAAAGTGAGCCTCACCGCTGCTAGTTACCCTTCGTTAGGTAGGCGATTAAAGTAGATCACTTGGGAAGAAGTGCTGCAAACGGCAATTTCTCCCTTCTTTACTGCTGCCGGTCGGATCTTGAAGTCAACGAAGACAGCAGAAACGTACATCAACAAACAAGAAATTCGGCGGGAATAATAGCAGCCTGGTAAATAGCCCATCGGCTAGTTATCTGCAAAGGCCGTGATCGAAGTCACAGAAAGTTAAGTGACATTTTTAAATGAGAGGGTTGCTTTCAGTAATCGAGATATGCGTTGAGGAGGAGGTTTAAGACTAGCTGGTCCAAGGTGAGGCGAGGTTGTAGGGGACCAAGGTGGTGGACATTGACTATTTTAAAATGAGAGTTTCTAGAGAGATCTAAATTCACCTCAGGACGAATGGATTCGAAATGGTGAAAAAGGAGTGGCCACTAGCAGGGTGACTGAACATCAAATTCCAACATATTCTACTAAATTTGACTATAGAGACTAAATGTTTTCGGGATTAGAGGAACCTCTTCTCTACATTGTAGTTTAAGAGTTTCCGTGACCCGACTACTATTGCAACTATTCAAATGTATTGTCGGGTGAACAAGAAAAAAAGATGACCTGATAACCTGTACTTTGTACTGCTTTCATTCACTGTCATTCTAGCAGGTGGTTTGTGTGATCGAAAATGAAAAATTTGACTCCTTTCCCGGAGGCGTGACACATTCTCAAGTTCGTAATGTAGCTTAATAAATTTGTACGGATTCAACCACTGCTGAAAGCGTCTTAGAGCTCTTTGAATCTTGAAACAATCACCACAATAACCTTTTTAAAGAAGTACAGACAAGCTGTGGTAAGCGCTTTTATGCACCATTTTGTCACTGAAAGCCAAAAAATTGTCTCTGATTGCCGTCCCTTCTGTCTTAATCATTCCTCAACCCTTCCTCTCATTTCATGTGTTGCCGGGAGACTGTCGCATGCTAACATCTAATAAAGGTGTTAATCAGTTGGAGTTCAAAGAATCCCCATCAGGGTAGTTCAGAGGACGAAGTTAGAAATGAAGATGGAGCCAATCATTGCATCCTTTAACTCACTTTCTGCTTCCATCTCCACAAGTAAGCTTTGCAACTGCATGAAGCAATGCATTTTGCTGAGTTTGATTGCTTTGACTCAGCAGAAGGAGACTAAGAATAGAGCGTTTCTCCTACGGACACATCAGTCACCAGGCACTTTGCCCTAGTCAATACCGCTGACTGTTCCCTAAAAAGGAAAAGTTTATCTTAGCAAACTTCCATTTATAGTGCCTTGGATTGGACTGTGTAGAGAATATCGATAGGGAGATATTGAAAGTGAAAAGTAGGTGGATAACATTGACTTCAGATGTGGTTGATTGGCCTTTAACAGGTGAGAAAAGGCTTTTGCAGTGCATCGCACATCCGCACAAATCTACGAAGGTGCATAATGTGATGTGGATGAAAAGGTGAGCGCTTTAGAAATGCGGGATGGATAGTGGAAAGTGGTAGTGAATAGGACCATCTACCTACCTTGGAGGGACTTATCACTAAAATTAATGGAGAGTGCAATGCGGTAGAGCATACCCTATCTTTTCAAAAAGCCATAAGAAAGGCTTTCCTCATTTCTTTATTCCCCATAGCCTCTGCTCACCTATTAGTGTAGCACCTATTAAATAGTCTTTCTCTTATCGTGCCCACCACCTTCACAAACATTTGGGTTTGCAGTGGGTCAGTGAAGATTGCATTAAGCCACGGCCTTCTAAGGTTTGGGTGATTACTCCACATCTGTGGAATGAGGGTGCTGCATGCCTTTGGGTTGAAGTAGGAGAAGCTGACTGCTCTGCTTGATTGTTCTTGCCTTACGTAGCAGGAAACGTTGCCTGTCTGTTTAAGAACCTTCAAAGTCTATACTTGCACAACTTGCATTTGCAGCAGTAGTAATACCCTTATCAGTTCATTGGCGTAGGAGAAGACGGGAGGAAGACCATATTTTTGGCATTTTTTGGAAGAAAAGGGTAATGAATAGCATGTTTGAGTGACGACAACGTGCTTTGAAACACGCACACTACATTAACTTGCACGACTCTACAAGTGTAATTGAATATGCTGATATACAGCTGAGAGTAGATATTGTTAACGCATGCCTAGGTCACCCATTGAAGGCTTTGATATCTACGCACAAAGGCACTTCAAGTGTGTAGCTTTACCGGATAAAGAGAAGCAAAAGAAAAATGTGACAAAAGCGTTATCTCTTATAGGCGTTGACATTGTAGTGTTCGGAGCGATGCAGGATGTTGGGTCAGTGGAGCAAGAAGAGGAGGAATCACTAGCACCAGAGCCACTGCTAATAGCAGCTCCTGTAACACTAATGGGACCTGAGAGCTGAGCAATCGGTAGGACAGAGGATTTCGATGTAGGGAGAAGTGAAAATGTACCTGAATGTTGGACTTGCAACGGCACCATAAACACTCCTGCTGCCACAGTCTTTTGTGCGTCACCGATTTGTTGAATTATCAGAAAAATCAAGACGTCGTAGGGAATCCGTTGATTATACGATCTGTTGGACGTAGAGAAGTTCTTAAGTCGATTTTTGATGCACAGCAAGAATGACCTCCAGAAATGGGAGTTTTAATCCAAATCACTAAACAAATATTAAAGTTTACCTAGTATTCTATCCCTACTAGTTCTTCTCCATCCTCTAATCATTTAACATGGATTTAGTCCAGCTTTCTTATTTGTAACCATTCCATCCGAAACTATCATTCCGTCCATTTTAGATCTCTGCGCGACAATTTTCTTTCCTAAATCTACCTACATTCTCTCCCTGTCATTCTACTATTCGTTAAACATCTTTTTGGTAAATCAACACGCAAACAGTGAATATCAAGTTGGATGATTCCAGATGAAGCGAGTTACAAGTAATCCTGAATTGGCCTTAACAATACGATTTCATCCACCTTAATAGACATTCAATCGACAAAGTAATTTAACCTGCTTCGAGGTGATAAGTTTAAACTGGATTACTTTGACAGAAAAGACACCAACAGTGAAATGGACATAAGTTGTAGCGATCCAACAGTTTCCTCCGGCTTATAGCAAAGAATGGCTACAGTAACACGAGTTCTTGGAGAGCAAAATGAATGACAAATCGCATTTTGCGAATACGATTTGTCATTCAGTGGAACAAAGTCGATCCTACTTGCTAGGCAAGAGATAGAATAACATTTCAGAAACAGCCATTCAAAGCCAGTGGATGCTTATGCAACCAGTGCAGCGCATTTTGGTTAATAAATTTTTGCATTAAAGTGGAGGTCAATTGGTAATCTTGCCCGTGAAACCTCCTTACCATCTCTCTATGTGCATTTCCTGTGCTCACCCCTCCACCCGCTCATCTAACCCAAAGTCATCCATCCTCCCGCCTTCTTTTAACCTACCTATCTATTTACCAATCCGTGAGCATTTACAACTCACCCACCTTCCATTCTTTTGGTTCAAATCCATCTTTATCTCACCATAGCCGAATCTAACCATCTTTACATTCCATACCTACCTACCCATCCATCTAGACATTCCGCAGTTCTGAACCGTTTTTCCCTTATTCCACTGAAATCCACCCAATAATCTATTGACATGGAAAAAACGGAGACAGCCGCTTTTGATTACTATTTTGTTTTGAAACAATTTTGACCAGTAATTTTGCCCTTAGATCTACCTATTCATCCATCCTTCTACAATGAAATTGAGGGAGGAAGGGAAAATTGCACAAAAATAATATGAAAATACTCAAATATTTGCTTGGGTAGGGCGGGATAGCCAGGGTGGTAAAGGGAATCTAGAACCATTACACAGTATTTCCCAACATCAACTTCTCTCTCAACCCTCCTGTTGTCCAATAATGACTCTGTTAGGGTGTTTCTTAGAGACGGAGTCAAAGTCCTCACGAAGACGACGGAGCGTCCAGCAACTGCCGTACTAGGCATTTGATTACTGTGTTCTTCCAACTCTTCTGCTATTGCGATGTTTTTGGTTTTTTTGGAGACTTTATCCATGGCGTTGACGACTGTAATTGCGGCTCCGAGTAGGGTGTAATACAGGAAGAGAAATGAATAAGCCATCCTTATTATCTCATACGAAGAGAGAAAGATTGATTTTAGTGATTAGGTCCGTGAAAGAGGTGTAATACTTATGCTGTTTTAATGCACCTTTCAGGGAGGAGGCAAGCTGGAAATACGAATCTGGTGACAGGATCGTCCTCTCCCGTGCCTAGTGATTGCAATTCCCCCCTTCGTGGACGTTGTACTTTCCCTCTCGATCTATTCCTCTTTAATAAATATGCCTAAATTGAAATAACCGGGCTCTTCTAAGAACACTACGAACAGGGAAGCGGAGACCGCCGAGTCTCACTCTACAGAAGAATGTATTTAGTGAATGTTGCTATTCTTCTTCAAATTCAGTGAATACCTTAATCGTCAAAATACTTCAGGGTGAGATCTTTTAAGGTGCAAGTAAGGGTTGACCTACTGTTATTTTGAGAGATCTTAGAAATAAGCTAGTGGCAGCAGCAGTAAGGCTGGGAGTTTGTCGAGGGTATACCAGTTGCATTTCTCAAATTATAACAAAAGGAATTTATGCCCAGAATTCTCACTGCAACAACTTTTAAGTAAATTGAGATTAGCCACTCAACGACCTATTTACTAACGCTTTATTTTGACTACTTTTCGGAGAATGAAATGAACAACGACGAATTGATAGAAATTTACTTCTTGTTTTAGTCCAAAACCAATTTTTTTAACTATCCAGAAGTGACTCTAAGTAAAATTGTATACTGATTTTCGGAAATCTGTTTCGTACAAAACCATGCTATCTTTTTAACACTAGCTTCTTTGCTAAAGAAAAGCCACAGGAGAATTGGAAAATTCCCATCCAAATATATTTCGAGGAAGGATCTCATAACTTCATTTTAGAAGTCCCCTTGTTAACAACTTAGACATTGTTTTTTAATAGCAAAGGCTAAAAAGTGGACTTGATTTGGTTGGACATACCTTCCTGTGTTGTTTTTTTGGTGTCAAAACGGTAGTAAAATGATCGGCTCAATGGATTCGACATCGCAACGTTAACACGGAAAAACTTGAGTTGATAAGGTCAAGAGAAGCGGACGAAACATCAGAGTCACCGCCACCACGCACACCACCATTTACAACGGTGGAGGATACAGCAGTGCGGTAGAATCAGTAAGGGCTCACACTATTGAAGAAGGCGCAGGATGATCAGTTGTAAACAAAATTGCCACTATGGTAGAAAGAATGAGTCGCGTTGTTGGAACGGTCTATTGCTATAAATATCAAAATGACACAGTGGATATATACTATTATCGGCTGGAAGAATACCGGACAAATAACGCTCCAGATTAGGGCATAAAACTCTTTGTTGTTGAATGCACGGTAGTTGAAGAAGCAAACATGTGGGAATGTTTATTTTTACTTGAACTGAATGTAACTTGGGTACTACGTTTCACTTCTGTTGACGCAAATGGATTCATGCGCTGCAACCTTGCGCCAAAAAGGTCCAAACCTCTGGGGACGAATTTAAGTCCACCCCAACGTGCGCAACTCAAACCATCAGTGGCCGCCGCTTTGGTCTCTAATAGCCTCACCTCACCTCAAATCAGTTAGGCTAGACTCAGCTAATCACACACCCCATTCCTGACAATCATTTCGACTGTTAAAGGAAAACTTCCCTTTTAAAATACTACTACTTCCTCTGACCTCATTCACCGCCTCAGTAGATAACTTGCCAATGGAGTACTCACCAGGCGACTATCTCTACCACCAAATTCCTCGTTTGTCGATGGACCAGTCTACTGTCTCTATCGCCTTTGACCTCGAACCAGTCTTTTGTAGCACCGATATTCAAAGCAATCGTATTTCAATAGCTTTCCCTCAACTCAACACCGTTCCATCCAACTCTTCTTGAAATGACCCATTAATTCATCATAGGGGAAACTGAATATTGTATCTAAGTCACTCGGACAAAAATAGATGGATTCAAATAAGCCATCACTTCTTACTGACATTGTATTTGTTCTGTCTTTGTCTACTTTATTTCGAACTTGGCAGTGGGGCATTTTCCAAAGGTCGTGTTCTCTTCCCTTTTCAAGCCTAAGCTTGATACCTTTGCCTGAATGTTTGTTGTTTTACCACGACCACCATGTCTGCTCTTCGGATTCATCCCCGTGTTTCGAACGTGATCAACATGACCACACTTGTAGATGGAAGTGTCCACGGATCCTGGTATCCAATCGGCACGCCTTGGACTACAGGAGGCTCACACCTGACTACTTCGAAGATCAGTCAAGACTCAGACACAAGCCACAAGTATATCTGCATCCACACCTATGTATAATCCCAGTTTACCACAAACGTTTTCATCAAAACGTCATTCCTATAGGGATCATGGGATGCGAACGCTCTGAGTGGACTGCTTTTCGCTAAGGGTTGTTCGCTGTTTTGAGTTATTAAGCGGCATCCACACGGCTACTACCGGTGTTACTGCCACTTTCTCGTAAGGCTGATTGCTCACTCGACATGAAACGACGCAAATCAACAGTACGAGTTGAATGAACACGATTCCTCACCTGTTTTTTCCTACCCTTTTTGTGCACTCAATAGAGGGGGGCTAAGTCCATGCTGTTGAACCAACTAATCTCACAAGCAGTAGTTGGAGTTTTCTTAGTTCTTCCAAAAATCTGCCTCTCTTTAATAAGTCTCCTTGTTCCTTCAAATGGTCTGCTTAGACATAGTATAGGGGACGTGAGCAGTGAATGCATACTGCAGTTTACTTTCGGTCAGCGAACAAAACGAGGAGGGATTTCAGATGGCGTTGTATTGTACTGCTGGTACGTTTTATATCCAACTCTTCTCTCCGTTGAATATGCTTGTCGTACTGTGAACTGGTTTTCCCTCTCGGAACTCCAGCTGTACTTGCTTGAATCGAACATGATGTATTGCGACCCGACTCAGGTTCTCCCTTATGATCTTGGAAAAAGGCGTAGTCGTAGTATTGGTGACTCCGATCGACTTGTCCTCACCTTACTAATGCCCCTTCCACCTAGCCCAACAGGCTATCGTGGACGAATCGGATTTTTTCGAGCTAATGCCCACACATGCACCCAATCTCCTCACCGGCTTTGCGCGTCTGGCCGGCCGGCCAGTGGGTATTGTGGCTAATCAGCCCACCGTTGCCGCGGGCTGTGTGGACATCAACGCGGCCGTGAAGGGAGCTCGATTCGTTCGCTTCTGCGATGCCTTCGGTTTTCCCTTGGTCAACCTGGTCGATGTTCCTGGTTTTTTGCCGGGTGTTGGCCAGGAGGCTGGGGGCATAATTCGCCACGGGGCAAAGCTGATATTTGCCTACTGTGAGGCCAGTGTACCTAAAATGACGGTGATCACACGGAAGGCGTATGGTGGGGCATATTGCGTGATGGGCTCGAAGCATCTGCGGGGCGATGTGAACTATGCCTGGCCTAGCGCAGAGGTAAGTTGAGTTGTGGTGAGGGTGGATGATTTGGGCTAAATAGCGAATGTCTATCACGTTGTCAGGTTGATACTTATTCTTCCAACTGTCTGGCCTCTTGCCCCTCTAGAGTGTCTCTATTGACTGCTCCGGCACTGATGCTCGATCATTATGTTGATCTCCCGCTGGTTCCTGATCGCTAAACTTGCATTTTCATCAACTTGAAGGTCAGTCCGGAAAAGCGATAGACATAAACTCCACACATTTGACAGTGCTTTGACCCAACAAGGAGGGGCGCGTTGCACTGGTGAGGATATCGGACATCCCATACTTAGTGAAAGCACAGGAAGTGCAGATTGTCCAGCATCAATATGGTCGAATTGAGAGCCTATAACTTACCGTGGGATTCAATTATGCTTAACAATCTTGAGATGACATTCTTCTCGGAATGAGGCTAGGAGTGGTTTTATCCTGAAGAATTGCGTTCACCTACTTTTTCTTTCAATTAGATCGCGGTTATGGGAGCAAAGGGCGCCGTACCAATCGTCTTTCGCGACGAGCTTGGTGCGGCGGAGTCGACGGCCAAACTGGAGGCCACCTACGAGCGTGCCTTCGCTAGTCCATTTCCAGCAGCGGCGCGTGGCTATCTGGATGACATCATCGAGCCATGCACCACCCGAGCTCGACTCTGCGCTGACCTGGACCTCTTGAAGGACAAACGCGTACCTACTGCTAATCAGTACCCACGAAAACATGCCAATATGCCGCTTTGAGGATGAGATCTAACGCTTGTTATCCTCTCTAGCCTATTTGGGTGTGAATAGAGGCGAATGTGATCGCTTCCTATGCATATAGGACGAAATGTTAGGGGCATTTCTTGCAGTTTTGCGAAACATTTTGCAAATGGATTAGACCACTCTAAGTACGAAGGAAATAGCTCTTTGGTTTTAATGTCTGGCTATCGATGTGATGATTGTTCCAGCCGAGTGAAAGCTGGTGTATCGTGAATGACGTCAGACGCAGTATGGAGCTGAGACGAAGCTTGCGTGGGTAGTGGTACTGTATCACGTTGACACTTTCTTCCCCCCGTTACTTGGTCACGTCACTGTTGCGTGGGACTCTGACACCCGTTCTCTGATTCGGGGAGTTACTGGGATGCATGTTTGTTTTGCTGCAACTTCTTATGTCAGAGGTGTCCCAGCTCTGCAAACTGCGTGGTCTCGCTGACATCGCCTCTACTTTAAGTGAATATGGGAATTAAGTCCATATGTGACTTGTATATTCCAGTAGAAGCCTCATTTGAATGTCCTATTTGGTCTTCCATAAATCTGTCTTGGCGGCCGAGGGACAATGAGGGGGGAAGTGAATGGTTTGCACTGGTGGCAGTGATGGTGGATAGGCGGACAGTTTGAATGCGCCAAAGCTGAGCTATGGATGTCGGTAGGCCTTGCGCTCGCTCTTCGTATGCTATTTCCAGCTGTGGTGATGTACGGTACTGCTGCAGATACATATCTTTAGGAATGCCACACAAAACTAGTCGGTGGGACACCCTCCAAGTGGCAATGTAGTAATAGAATTGTTGGGATGACGCTTCTTCCACTGCGATTTGAGAATGAGGGATGGTGACAAACACCATGTTAGAAGCCTTAGCAGCGTGATAAAGTGGGTCTCTCCTAAATTACTACCTCTGAGATCAAGAAATGGGCAGTTGTCTAGATTCTTCTCTGAAATTCCAAGAGATAGACGGTGTTTCAGCCCCTCCAGACTTCCATGAAGGCGAAAGAAGACCTAATGCTGGGGTAGAAAATATGATGAAGTTCTGCAATAGGGCATGAGGCTACTGACATGGTCTAGCACCAAAATTAAGATAAACACACAAATGACGCAAGACAGTGATTACTTAGGCGAAATGATGGAGTTGGCAATGGGGAAGCTTCATTTTATTCTCCCCAGATACCTGGTTAAGAAGGAGAATTTGAAACGAACACAAAGGATTCAATTAATCTTGGCGTTTCGCCACGGTTGTCAAGTTATGATAGAGCTAAAGGAGTTATGAGATGCATTCAAGTGGTAGCCTTGCTGTCTTAGGTGTTCTACATGTGCTGCTTCTTTTAATGTACGCATTTCTTACCATCAATTTTTCACCATAAAATTAGCTGTTACATGTATGCTGTTACGTAAACACTTGGCTAAATCACATCAGATATTAATAAAGTAAATGTCAAGAAACGATTAAACGATTGCCACTTTGTCGATTCCAATAAATATTCTTCATTAGTTTTGGTGATAAAAGCCGCATAACTTCCATCAATAAAGCTACCTCTGCATTTTTCTTGACAAAAACGCGTTTGTTCATATCGATAAATTATTTTTTGTTGGTTGGGTGGTTTGGCGGCTCTAGGTCACGATATCAGCTGCTTAAATTATATAAATGGGTTAAATCCTTCTCTTACACATTGGATTCAAGCATCATGCCTTCTAAATCATTAAGACTCACATAATATGTGTATTTTTTCACAACATTGTTGCCGCAATATTATCATGCACTATTTTTTTGAAAAAGCTTAAGGAAAGGGCGAAAAAATTGTGTAAAATACGATGACGTTGCAGGGATGCATTTTAGACTCCTTCATTCAAGGACTGATATTCGCATCATTATCTTAATAGACATGGGCCACCTCAAATTATTCGACTAATTCATTAAAAACTGATATATATTTATACTATGGATATCTACAGCTTCTATTCACAAAAGTGCATCGGATTTAAACGTTCGATTAATTGGTTTTTAATTTGTTTGGCCACTGGTTACAGTCTGTAAGCGGATGGCTTTTTTTGCTTAAAGTATGACTGACGAGAGTTTTTTTCAACATTAACCAGAACTATTTTATATTCGTCTTATCCTAAATGCACTATTTACTCTAGGAATGAATGACCCCTTAGCATCACCAGTTCCAGTTATCGTTGTGAACCACACAAATTTCCAGAGGTCTAGTCAATCCCTTCTTCGGCCATCCTTCCTTTCTGCCCGTAGCCACTCGTCAATTTTTACCGACGCAAACCCGTATGATTGTTTGACTTTACTTATTTTGTTTAATTTCATAAATTATTCCTGTTCACTTAAGCATTTTTCAGTGCAGAGGTATGAATTGCAAAATCATGTTTGACAGTAATTTTGAAAGCAACAAAGCGAAAGTTCTGCTCATCTCTAATAATTGCCGAAATAATTACGTATCGTTTAGAGAATCAATGGTGCACACCTCGTTTATACATCATAACTTAATCATAATAATAACGGTAAAATTCAGGGACTTAATTAATGAGAACCGAAATGGTTAACAGGAAGAACGAAAAAGTAATTAATTAAGGCACACAAATATATGCCTGTGTTGTAACCCATCTAGCCCAAAAATTAAAATGAAGTGCTTTCTTATAAAAGTTAAGTAAAAAGTCGTGTTCAATTTTTGCCGATTCTAGGTCAGACTCGTGCAATGTCACTGACAAGGTGCATTATCCTAAGAGTTTTGAGGCTCGGCAACCACTGTCAACTCTTTGGCCAAGATCACTCACACCTGATGGCGAGGACCTTGAATATGAAGAGAAAGAGGAGGAAGAGGAAGGAAATTATGAGCACTTACGTTGTTATCTTTTTTCCCATAAATTCCACTGGCCATGGGGCTTACTGGTGTTTTTGGCCTCCATTACAACCTACCTCGCTGATGTTGTATGCGACCTTTATCTCGTAGTTTGCTACTTTAAAAAGGTGGGAGTACTTTTATTATGGATAAAAGGCTTTTATTAAAGGATCGTTTCGATTTGGCTGCTATGACGTTGTCAGTGATTATACTGCCCTCGATTGTGATGACAAGCTTCAGCTTGACCTGGTATGTTCTCGATAAACGTGTTGGTATGGAACCTCAGCGAAGCGTTTATGGATGGGGGTGGCGCCTCCTGCTACATGGACTTCAAATGGCTCCTATTGTACGGTAAATTTAAAGGCATTATGCACTTGATTAACACGTGCTAAATGATGATTAACATGTCTTAAATGGCACCAATCCTGAAAGTGCAAAAAATTTGCTCAAATTTAGACAAGCCGACGCCCTGATCTACGGCTTTCGCAGCCTAAGGGTCGACAAAATCGGCTTGTATGAAGCTGTTCAATTGACACATCTAAGACTTTGCGAGTTAGCAGACTCTGCAATGTTGCAAGTAATGGAGGGTCTCATGGAGTCTGCACCCCAACTTATACTCCAACTTTACGTCCTGCTAACCAACCCATCCAACCTGCGTAAGTCGGAGGTTTTTCCAGTGTAGACACTTCATTTAACACCGAAGCAATTATTTTATAACGGCATCAGTTATAAAAGATAAATTGCCAGTAGTTAACCATCAAGAATCCTCCTTCTGCAATGTTTGTTATGCTTATTGAGCTAAGAACTCCTACATTTTATTCTGCTATTTCTTTCTTGTACATAGTGCAGTTTTGGAGGGGCCGAGGTTTGTTAAAGCCTAAAGATAATTTGCAAGTCATAGATAGCTAAATGAATATTTAAGTTATCCAGAGGTCTAACTCGGTCCAAAAAACCAATTATCTTAACTTTAAACGTTACAAATATGGAAGATTTTCACTGAATTTAATAAGTAGCACCTTTTGCTAGTTCTCCTACAGTATGCCAGCTGCGGCACGTCCCTCTTCGCACTAGCCTACTGCCTAACCGCCTACCAAATTGCACTATACAATTCTAACACGTCCTTCTCTACCACCTTCCACTGGCGCAATCTTCCCGCCACATCCATATTTTTCATTTGGAAGGTATGTGTTCTCGCCAGTCGTCTTCTTTCTTTGGCACTTCTGGCAGCTTGCATGCGCCATTACCCCCATCAGCCATGGGTTTTCTGTGGGTGTCTCTTTCTCCACTGGTTCTTCTCTTTTATTGTTCTCACCTACGAAACTCGCGTCTCGTGTTCCCTTCTTGAAGTTTTGTTTGTCGCAGCCCTAGCAGCAGTTCACTGTTTCGATGTGGCTCTGCTCAACATTCGACGTTGTCATCGATCTCCAACGGTCGGAACGGTTTATACAATTTGGTATACCGTATTCTTCGTGGAGAATGCGACAGCAGCTACTGTGTGGTTCCTGACTGATGGGCGAAAGGAACCGTTGCGAGGACTGACAGCCGTTTCATTGGTTATAATAACGTTTGCCCTGGGTGTCATATTCTTGATTGTGTATTATGGACTTGCCTATCCACAAAGTGTCAGGAGAAGGCGGACTTTGTATTAAATGTAACAAAGCTGCAGCAACTTGGTTTTTTGCTTGTATATTTTATCTGAGCGGTATTCCAACGCATTTGAAGTTATCAAGTTTCCAAATCTTTACCACTCAACAAAATCCACTAATTTTCTGCTAAAAAAGCAAGCGCAAGTTCATTGCAATTAAAAAAATTAAATTGCGCTAAAATCTTTATTAGGAGGCCGAAATAACTCCTAAATATAGTTGTAAAATTAATAGACCACCATTAAGATTTTTTCTTGTGTAGCATAGATGAATAATGTTAAGGCTAAAATACTATAGTTGGTAATATATTTATGGTCGAAAAACATGATACTAAAGGGTGCGTTGTTTATAATACAATTTCTTGTTTTAGTCCTCCGCAATTTAGTCTTGTGTGGCGCGTCGGGATGTCTTCTTCGAAGACGTCGAACACATATAATCGGCAGAATTGGGAGGATTCTGTGAGTGTAAAGGCCTTTTTATGGTCCCTTTTACCAT